CCACCTAATTGCCTGAAAATGTATGGTCAGAAAATGTACTTTCCAAATGCAACACAATTAATAGTGAAGTCAAGGTTATATGGAAAGTCAAGATCAGAAAACAGGGAACAGTTGAATAGCTCTTTTTAATTTGTATCTTTGATGAAGATATCATGAACTGTTTTTTTTTTAAACTAAATTAAAATTTAAAAAAAAAAGGAATAATGGGGTCAAGGTCATAGGAAATGTCAAGTTCAGAAAATTGTGACATTGTAAAAATAGCTCCCACTGATATTGTCGACCTAATTTTTTTTTTAATAAAAATATCTTCCATAGTTGCTTTGAAACAAAACTAGATACTTAATAGGGAATAGTGAGTTCAAGGTCACAAGGAACGTTAAGGTCAAAAAATTATTCCACAGTTGAATAGCTCTCATCAATGTGTTCAATGTATAAATTTTGGTTAGCATAACTTACTCCATCGTAGGGATAGAATAAAGAGAAAATAATCCAAAATCTTTAAAAAATGTTTTATTTTGAATAACCGAATTCTTAGCTTTAAAGTTCGGAGGAATGTCCTTTCAATATTCTGTTATGATTGGTTTGAATGAATTACTTATATCTTTAATTTTTCTTTTGTACCTTTCGTTTTCTTAACTTGTAGATCTACTTGAGTATATACTCTCAGTTTATGCATACGTAACGTTCAGGCACTAAATATAAGGGCTGATTTGAAAAAAAGTATTTACTAACCCCCTCCCCAATTACGATTTTTGCGTTTATTTTCTTAAATTTGCTTGTTAAGCAAACCATCCTTGACCCCCCCCCCCCCGTTCTGAATGTTCTGGATCCGCCACTTCTGTTATAAATCTGGTGGTAATCTTTGATAAGTTCCATATGAAACTTCCCGCTTAATTAATATAACAGAAATCTTGCCCAAATCACATGTTTTATACGAAAGCTTATTAAGATCAGTGTAGGTGAAAAATATTAAATTAAAAAGCGTAATAACGAAATGAAGAGGCGTTTTAACGCCAATGAAGACATAACAACGCGAAAAAGGCTCTATTACTCTTTTTGAAAAAGCGTTATTACCTTTTGAAAAGGCGTATCAAAAGTTTTAAAGGGGGGGGGGGGGCTCCAACAAAATTAACAAGCAAACACAAAACAAAACAAATTTTAGGTGAAATATCCCTCTACTCTAAATTTCACCGATTTTTTTGTTTAAATTCCCAACACTGATTTTCATCAACATCAATTTTATAGCATTATATTCAAATTGAAAATAGTTTGAAGTATGAAGCGTTGCTTGCTTTTTCAGAAATGAATATTATGTCTAATCATGCTATGAAAATTTGAGACAGTGAAAAGAAAGATCAATAATTTTTTATCTCAACAGAAAATTAAAATTATGAAGTATGTATGAAAACAAGAGGCCCAAGGGCGCCTTAACGGTCACCTGAGTACAATACAACCATTTTGAGGATCCATAAACTGATAAATGAAGCTTTGTTGCCCAAAAGCAAGAAAAATAGTATGATTAGCATCAACAAAATAATTGGTTTAGTATCTATCTGTCCCCCATTTATCACTATTACCATGCAGACTATTAACAAAATGTCTATTTTTAACCCCATAGTATTACTTCTCACATTGGCCTCTCTTGGCCTTTGAAGAACATTTTAAAAGATAAGTTATATTTGTCTTGTTTTTATTCATCTATTACTTCCAAGTCTATCTGCTCATTAAAACTACGAAAGTACTTTTTGTATTATACAATAAATATTCTTGCATAATTCTCTTATTCTATTAACCTTTCAAATACATTGTTTACAGTGATTAATTATCAAAGGTGAATGGCAAAGGGGAATAACTTTGCTCAGCAGAATACAAGTTAATAGAGCCCTGGCCAGGACCAGAACACCTGACTAAATGGTCCAGGTGTTCAAAATTCTGTTAAAAATACCTTTGCAAATTAAAACTTTTACTCTGTTTGCCTCGAATATGCCCAGAAGCATAGAAGATTTTCAAGGAAAAGCATTTTCACTATATCATTAAATAAATAAAGCCCCACCCTTACACCAGAACATCTGACCCAGGGGCCATGAACTCACAATTCTGGAAGAAGCACCCTTGCTCATCATAACTATACACTTGTTTCTTTGCTTTATAGCCAGTGGTAGAAAAAAATATTTTGAAAGAAATTATGCATTTTCACTATATGATCAATAAAGCCCCCCCCCCCCCCCTCTTCACCAGAACCCCTGACCCGTGGCCATGAATTTCACAATTTTGGAAGAGGCATTCTTCCTTATCATAACCATGCACTTCCTTTGTTTGAATAATACCCAGGAGCAGAGAAGAAGATTTTGAAAGAATTTATACATTTTCCCTATATAATCAATAGAGCCCTGCCCTAACACCAGAACCCTTGACCCAGAGGCCATGAAATTCACAATTTTGGAAGAGGCAACCATGCTCATCATAACTATGAACTTAGTTTATTTAATATCCAGGAGCAGAAAAGAAGATTTTCAAAGAAAGTCATGCAATTTTACTATACAATCAATAGAGCCCCGCCCTAACACCTGAACCCTGACCTAGGGGCCATAAAATTCTCAATTTCTGAAAAGGCAGTCATGCTCATCATAACTATATTCTTAGTTATTTTATTTAATACCCAGGAGCAGAGAAGAAGATTTTCAATGAATTAATGCATTTTCACTATATAATCAATAGAGCCCTGCCCTAACACCAGAACCCCTGACCCTGGGGCCATGAAATTCACAATTTTTGTTCCCCTTCACCCAAAGATGCTATATGCCAAATAGTTTGAAATTGGTTCAGCGACGGACGAAAACGGATAGCAATAGGTCACCTGAGTGACCCAGGTGACCTAATAATATTTACTGACATGCCTATTGAATAATGAAGTGTTACTTTTTAATTCAGAATATCACATTATTGGAGTAGGGGTGTGGGGGATCTTTCTCTTAATTTTTGGTAAAACTTCTTTAAAAATACATTAATTTGCGAGATTTAGACCATGCTGCAACAAAATGTGCAAGGGCCAAGCAGGCTATAAATGATTTTTTATACTAAAACTACAGCAAGACTATCCCCCACCATGTTCTACGGGCTGTTTGAAAAGGGGTTATAGCGGAAAATGGAAAGGTGTTATTATATGTTAATAATTATATGAATGTGGAATCAAAGTCGTCCTTATTCATGTAATATTTAAAAATATCTTCTTTACTACTGCACATCTCGCAGAAAACTGTTTCCATGAGTAATAAAAGAAGTCAACACCCTTCTTGTGAAAATCCAGGATTTAGGCAGATGCAGCGTGGGGCTTTGCTGGACATTTCTTTTATTTCACTTTGAACATTTATTTCCCCCCCCCCCCTTCGAAAAAAGCAGGCAAACTATTTGCATGGGTATAATGAGCAATTAGCCTTCAATCAAAATGGTAAAACCATTTTGATTGGTCCAGGTGTACTTTTGTCTGGCATCAGAGAAGGACTAAGTTGGTTTAGCATTGAAAATATACTACACATTTAAAAAATCTTTCTTCCTGAATGATAGCTAACTACAGTCTGTTTAAATTATTTTTTAGAGAAATTATAAAGCCTTTTTAAAAGGTGTAATAACTCAAAAGTGTGTGTGTGGGGGGGGGGGGGGGAGGGCAACTTCCCAAAATTATTTGACAAGCAAAAAAAAAAAAAAAAAAAAAAAAAAACAACGCAATAATAAATAATAAATAAATAATTCATAAAAGAATTAAAAATGAATAAATAAAAGCTACTTACTGTCCAAATCCTGGAATTTCCCGGTGCTCGACCTTACAACATCAAAAAGGGGGGGGGGGGGCAACCAGCATCTAAAGGAAAATTTACTGTAGAAAAAAGTACCCACCCACCCACCCACCCGGCGTTCTGCGGGCCTGCGTTATAATTTTTTCTCTTCATAGATTGATCCTAATAGGCTTTCGTAGAACTCTACTTTGCAAAAAATTAACGACATATGATAAAAGAGAGACAACTCCATCAACTCTATCAGCTGCCTATTGGCAGATATTTTTTTTCACTATGTAAAGAAATCCGGCTAATCCGTTTTGCAGTAGTACGAAGTAATTTTTAACATATTTTTGCATGAGTGGCAAACTTACTAAAGTCAATCGGTGGCATCTTCAAAGAACTTTTATAAGTCCATGAATACTTTTAAGTTGCTCTTCACATGTGCTGGAATCAGTTTTAAAATGTCATGATACACAATACATACGATACACATTTCAGAGTTCAACGTGCTTTTCAAAGTCAATTAAAAACGTAATTAACGAAATTTCTGTCTAAGGTGAAAAATTGGTGAGGGAATGTTAAAAAAGGGGAAAGGGTCATGAAAACATATATCTACTTTTTTTTCAATAAATATACATCCAAAATTTAGATTCAAAAATGTTTAAAGTTCTCTTTGAAACATCGAGAGAAAAAAATCACATAATGTTATAGCAAGTTGTACACATGTCAAAAGAAATAAATAAAAAAAGAGGTTGCATGACCAGCAAAATGCCATTCATTGCTCGTACAAATCGAATAAATGCACATTTCTCTCGCCTTTTTGTGGCAATTGATTGGTCATTTATCTATATATAAAATTTTCACTCTGAAACTTTAAATGTGACTATCAATAATTACATTAAAGTTTTTCTAAATTGTTAAATGTTAATTTGATAATATATACTGCAAATCGTCACAACCCTAGCAAAGAGATTTTAAAATGCACCCGGTTCCTCGTGTTGTTATTGGGCCCTGTGTTGGGTCGGTCTCCCGTAACGCGCTTCGCTTGTCATAGTTTAGAACTCAAGTGCGCCACATGGGGATATGTGTTGCACTGTTTACTTTGACTTAGTACCTTATTTCTGTTTGCAGGTGAATTTTTGAAGTTTTAGAGAGAAGCTCACCGCAGAGATAATCTTGTGAAATAAGGACCTTTTCATCCTAAATTTTTATTTAAGTGAAATGAAAGAGGATGTCGACAGTTTTAAAAATTGACGTGTGAAATATTTTAAGATGTGTATTATCGGTAACACGTGAGTTGACATGTAGTGGAGTGATGGAGTGTGAATTTAATCATTTTACCTGAAAATTCAAATTTTTGATTTTAATTGGAAGATATGCGGGGCTTCTTGATATCAATCTGCACTGTCATGAGTCTATTAGTGCAGAAACTAGCAGGTGAGTTTTCCCGCCGATCTGCTCTCTGTAATAGAGTCCTCGACTCTGGAATATATAATTAAAAGGCTACCTGTAAATTGGACCATTATTGTGAACATAAGAATACAAACATCCATCATATTCTTCGTCAAATAAAAACAATAAACATAATAGTAAGGTTAATCGAGCAAAGATCGAGACGTCATTTAATAGTGTACAATAATTTAGCAGTGTCAGCTTTTTAGGATTTTCTGGGGTTTAGAATTTATAATATTGCTGTGAGGGCTAAATTTGGCTAGACAATTCCCACGTGCACGTTATTTGTAATTGTTAGTCTCAAGTTACCGTTATGATGTTGTCCATCTAGCTGAAGCGTGTGTATGCATAATATTTTCGTTTAACAAAAAGTACCTCTGCTTATTTTCATTTTTTTTTTGACTGCCATGCAGATGTTGGGGGGAAAGTAAAATTCAATTATTTAGAGAAATCTCATTAATTGTGTTCATTTTAGTCGTATTTATTTACATTGTTTTTTTTATTTTACACGATATATTTTGTCTGGCATCAGATATGTTTGGAGATATCAGAGGAAATATGAAAGATTTTTATCAAGGATTCAATGCGGAATTATGTTGTCAGAAGTAAATTATAGAATGAAGTCGCTGTCACTTTCACTATAACGTAAGGGTGTCAATAGCAGGTTTCTAAATATTGTCAGTTGTCCTTTTTATCATACCTAAACCTGTAGTATACACTGATTTTAATAACTTTTTTTTTTTATTATTTCAGCCGACTGTCAACATATGGACAAGTTTTATATGGTACGTACAGATCAATATATTCAAATTAATGTACCAAGGTGTTCGCATTCTGTTCTGTCGGAAATAAAATGCAGTTGTTAATCTACAATGCAGATTTGCAACTTTTAATCATTACGCATAAACACGGTTGACGATAAACTTTGGGAAAAAATTGTTTTAAGTTAGTTCCTATTGTGGGTTAAATATTGACAAGTTGACGTGCATTTTGTGCCATACAGATGCACGAAGATGTGTATGAAATAATGGAACACAGTGCATATCTAAACAATACACTCCCGTCTAGGTTATTTAACTCTGGTTGATAATAGTTTAATTAAATGAACCGATTAATTATCAGATTAAATTCCATGTCACTGGTACTTAAGTGGGTCTTCAAACCATGACATCTTATATAACGGGTGCCGTTGATTTTTTTTCTTGAGTTTCTTGGTGATACAAATATGAACGGATGCTGATGTCCATCAAATACTTATATGTATATAAAAATAAAAAGACCAAAAAAAAAATAAATATATTTTTGTGAAATACTGCGCTTGCCTTTAGAGGCCAATACATGTACATGTGATATAAACTGACTAGGGAAATTCGGTTATCTCGGTTACTCTTGAGCATCTATCACAGGTAACCTTTGTACCACCCAGTAAATCAATGCTGAATAAGAGCTGTTACACTGCATTCAAATCGAGTCATTTTCAAACCCTCCTTACAAGCTATTCACGGGGAACAGAGAGCATGAGACTCAATGAACTTTAATTCCTCCAGTCCCTTAGATGTACTCTATTGTTCAATATTCCATTGAACATCTAAATTAAATTAGAAGATTAGCCCACCTCCACCTGTCTCAAGTCTATGTGTTCTAGTAAATGCAAAGATGTCTATATGCCGAATTCGGGGGAAATAGAAGCCAGATATTTTTAAATTCAAATTACGAGAGATATTATAAATTTAGGAGTTTTATTATGCTGTATTAGGGAATTACCCGTCTTCGATATTACACTGGTCTTGGGCTTTATGGGGAAAAGCATAATTTCATTCACGTTTTTGCATGAAAAGAAACATACCTGTGTGGCTGACAGGATAAAATACAAATACAAATATTTTATTGGCACAAACACAATTACAGTAATTGGTAAAGGCCCATACAGAACATATTAATAAGCATAATAATACAGTAGAACACAACTAGAATACAAACAATTGGTGTAGCAAATAATGTAGTGTACTCATCCGATACTAAATAATTCATAACAATGTAGTTACTCATTTACAGCTAAAACATTTTTTCTAATGTCAGATATATATTTGACATAAAAATGAAGATAATATTTTAAGAACCCTTTTACACCTGGTTTTCATCAATGATTTTAACAAATTGTCATTATTATGGACTGTTTGGTTGAAATTAGGGAAAGTAGATAATTTTGTTTTGAATATTTTTCTCTGTGCTTCATATTTCGGACAGAGCAAAATGAAATGTTTTTCATCCTCAATATCAAGGTTTTGACAAACTTTACACAACCTAAAATAGCTGATGATGAGGTTTTTGTTGCCATAAATCACGCGACGTTTCCTTACTGGCGGAAACCTGTGAGCGGTGTCTGCCAGATCTGGCCTATGGTCTCGGAGACTTCCGGATGACATAATGGTGTCTATAGATTTGGTTACATCTGATACATGAGATGCCCATTGTTGTTTAAAGTCTTTTTTTCTAAAGAAAACATCTTTTCCTATAGTATTTAAAACAGAGTCAAGAAAACATTGGTAGTACATGTATATGCATTTTCCGGATTCAATTTACAAGAGTTATACTCAGGCACGCAGTATCAGGAGAGGGGGCGACTGTTCCCCTCTTTTCCAAACATAACTTTTTACTGTTGAAAATGATCATTGAAAAGCTGGTTACCACCCCTCCCCCAACACTCTTTTTCTTGCGGTATAGTTAAATCACGGTAATGGGATAAATGGAACCTACACCCCACCCCCACCCCACCCCACACTCAGAGACGCACACGAAATAGGACTTTGGAGTTTCGATTTCGACATTTTTTTAGCTTGTCTTTAATTTTTTTTAAGGTGAGTTTTTTTTTCTGGCTGCCCCCTTTCAAAAAACGATACTATACGTTGTGTGACGGAAGTTGTTGTGCTTAATATAATATGTTATTTTCCATCAACAGTCAAGAGCTCTCGTGAGAGCGCCATTCACGGATGACCAGTGCCCTGTGTTCAATTGTATTTCACACTCCAGCCTGTCAAACAGATCCCAATCTTCTTAAATTAGTCACTTTTTCGGGATCTAGTCTTTTAGTGAATTCGATTTGCATAGATGCGCCATATGTTACAAATATTACCATTTGTTTGTTTTTGTTTAATTTTGTCCTGTTTTCTTTGTTTTTGTTTGTTTGTTTGTTTTGTTTTTCTTGTTTATTTGTGTTCTACTTTGTGTTGGGGGGAGGGGCATTTTCTCGTTGTTGCTTTATTTTTTATATACAACTGTTACATACATACTTCTATCTTTTACTGTTTGTTTAATATGGGTTCATCATTTTTTTTTATTCTGTTACATGTTTTGAGTTTCACACAGCATTATTTCGGTGCTCTGTATCAATATTAATACGGGGTGTGTCGTTTTTGAGCTCATGTTTCTGCTGTATAATCAATCACATTACGCGAGGCCCTATCTTACCTACAGGTAGATGTTGTACTTAAGTGTAAGCTAGCTTTAAGTATTAGAATTTAAAGTTTGATCTAATATTTCTTGCATAAGTGGTATTATTGAAAGTTGCATATCTCATTTGCAAATTAGTTTATGCGACTTGGTCGACTTCAATCACAAGAGTGTTTAACGATCAACAAAGTCAATTACAATTTAATCAGGGGAAAAAAACTGAAGGTGGAAAGGGGTAGGGCACAGATTTGGAGTTTATTAGTGTTCATAAACTTGGGTAGAATTTCATGACTTACAAGAGCGCAGACCGATCTATTATAAAAACATGTTTAAAGTCTTTTCATCTGAAAATGATAAAAACTGCGAATTTTGGTCGCGTTTCGTTGTCATACATTTTGGCGCTGAAATTTATCCTTAATACTCAAGGAAAGTGGGAAATCCGAGGTGTAACCATATTAAGAAAATAAATTAAAGCTATATCAAGAAAAATAGTAAGAAAGCAAAACAAACACGCCAGTGTTGTCAGTTTGTGAGCAGTGTCAGCAAATCGAACACACTCGGTAATCAACACAGAGCTTGTGCCAATGTTTACAAACACAGGGGTGATGAAAGGTTATGAAGAATTCCAGTGCCATTGGGTATCAGGAATTTTCATGCAAGTTCAAGTTATTAAACCGAGGCTATGTTTCAAATGAAAAATAGAAATTCATTCCCAAACTGCATTTATCTTTTTCCAACATTTAAAAGTTCCTGATGGTCAATGTATACATTCACGTCATGTACATAAAAAAAAACTCATAGGCGTCGGAAGCAAATTGAAAGAGGGGGAGCTAATTGAAAGTGGGGGGGGGCTAAGCGAACAGAAAAAGGTAAGCCCCAATCTCCAATGCTATATTATGTCTATCTTTGCAAAAAAAGTGTGGTGGGGGCTAACACCCCCCCCCCCCGGTTCCGACGCCTATGCAACTTTAACCACTCGTCACAAACTTTACTGCCTTTTAAAAATCAATAAAAATGTGTTTTAATTTCAGATTTAATACATGTTTCAAATATTTATTTAAAAAATATTGACTAAAATTTAAGCCTTAACTTATTTTGAAAACAACATGGAGTAGGCTTTAACAAGGGATCAAGGATACAAAAAGATAAAGTCGGGCTTTTGGGGACACCACTGACTTATAAGAACTATATAATGCATATGTTGTGTTATTTTATATTGATACGGTAGGTATTACTGCACGATTTATATGTTTAATATACCACAAAATAATGCCGTATGAAAATGGGCTATAAACTTTTCTCTACAACAAAGGAGTTTAATATTATTAAAGAAAAGAAATGATATCACTAACAGATATGTGTGTACCTCTTGAGGATATATATTTTTATAATTAAATTGAACCGATCGACTTTTCAACAACAGCTGTGGGAAATTGATTCTTGTTGGTACAGTATACTGTCATTTGCTATGCGCCCTCTGTTTTTACAAGTCAGAAATCTTGAATTACATTGCCATTTTTTAAACAGTTGTTAAAAGTTCAATATCCGGAAACATGAGACCACTAAAACTTATATTTTAATTTTTCATATCGTATGCGACTTCCTGTGGCGGGCTGCTGCAAGCAGCAATGTAATCATAGCCGTGAGATTTTTAAGGTTCAGTAATTTTATTTTATCATTTCAGTATACAAATGTTTTTTTTTTGTACTGATGTTTACATGGATTTCAAGCATGTGTTTGACAACAACTGGTGGTAATGTTTTTTGAAATGTGTGTTGGTTTTTTTTTGGTCGGACTGGAGGATATCTTTTCAAAGAATGAAGAAGGGATGTAAAAGAAAGTTGTTATTTACCACGGCCTTATGTATGATAGTAATGGCAGATGGAAACTAACAGATGGGGTTTATTTTAGAGAAACCCCCTTTTGAATGTGCTTTTTTTCTGGACACTTGATAAGTTGATAATTTTACCAGTTTACCACACTTTTCCTACACATTTTGCTTGTTAGATAAAGATTAATTACCACTTAATACCCTCATTTAGTTTTTATGCATCAAGGTATTGTTTTAAGAAATTATCTTGAACGTGTAAAATTTCAAACCAAAAAACTTGAAAGTGGTCATTTCTCATGTAACCTACACTTAATTCTTGCTGATTGCCTCAGTAAATGAAGAAATTGGGCCTTACTGAAACTGGTTAGTGTTCGTTATATTGTAAATCAAGAATGTAACGATACAGCTAGAGAGTATCATGATACATCATGATACACTCAAACTATTGCAATATTTCACCTTTCATTTATATATAATGTGATAGGGTAAAACCTGTAGATTATTACATTAACTGATTAAGTTTACAAATACATTATGCAACACTTGTCTTCATAAGCTCTGAACACATTAAAAAGAATAAAAACAGCATTATAAGTAAATAAAGAAAGTCAATTTTATATTTATAATTTTAAATTAAAAGGAATTACAATAAATTGCTTAAATGTTATATATCATGATATGCAGGTATAGGCTTTTGTACCATGATACAGTACATTTTTTGTGTGTTGCGGTACACCAGTTTATCATTAAATGGACTAGACATATGAAACTAATGAAAGTAACTAATTGAGTCATGCTCTGACTCAGTTATTTAGATTTGATGCAGTGATTATCTCACATCTGAGCCAAGATTTCCACTTTAACCAGACAACTCAATATTATAATCTTTTTGGAACTGTGGAATTTCTTTTTATAATTTTTTACCACTTTGAGATGGTTGATAACTGAAGAATCCACTCATCTGGAGAGGATTTATGTGTCCTGAGACAATTTTTTGATTTGCACAAAAATTGAAATAAATTATTATGAATACAATATAAACATATATAAGAAGAACTGTCTATGTAAACGAATAATGAAATTTAAATGTTGGTTTGATTGACATTGTTTAACGAATCCATCATGGTCATTGTTCGGTCAATGTCTGTGTTCAGATAGTAGTGGACACAGGATGTTGAACAGACTGGGTAGACGACTAATGCTCCACTTGACATGGCTGTACCAGGTCATTTCTTTAATTAAACAACAATGCAAATAGACCTTTAGGTAATTTATTGTTCTATTTCACCCATGTCATATATGAATTGAAGGTCCTTGTTTCATTGCCTTTACATTCTTAGAGCAGTTTTATTTGACTTAGATATTTCAAGCTACTGATCTAGTGAGTGGTAAGGAGTTATATTCCTTTATGAGGCAGAGGTTGTGTTTTTAGAGAAAACACAAAACACTTAAAGCCTTCTAGAATTTTGTGTCTGAATTTGTATTTCACATTTATCCAATAATAACAATTGTTAGAGACTGTTGACAAAGGTCTTATTTAAATACCTGTTCTGTTGTAAAGAGAAGTGATGTGACTGCAAAGATATGATTTAAAGTCAACATTGACGGTCTTAACTGTGTTCAACAAAGCCCGGGTCTCACACAGAGTGGCCTTTATCTAAGCAGACTGACAGTAACAAAATAGACTCACAATCTGCATCTACCCTGGGATCTCTTTTCAGGGTTGTGTCAGAATACTAGACAAATATTGCAGTTTGTTGTCAGACTATAATGACGAAAATTTGGCTACCCCACAGACAGAACTAAGAAGCTGTAAACTGAAGGACCTTTAACACAGTGCTCTGTGGATTTTCAAAATCATGCACTGTCAAGTATCACTAAAGGGTGGAGAACAAATAATAACTGGCTTGCCTAAATTCATCATTTTACAAGTGTATTGAAATTAAGATCTGAAGGCAATAAATTATAAATAAAATCCTCCTGGATATTTCCTGATATTTTGATTGGTTAAATTAATACATGTATACTTTTTTTTTTTTTACAAAGTTACAGAAATAGATTGTAGTGTATTTGTGTAAGATGTACATATTTAATATTTTAAAAGAATATCTACATAGTACTTTGAACAAAGAGTTCTTACATTGTATGCTATACCAGGGAGGGCAAGTGAAGGCAGTGTCAGAGGACTAATACTTAACTTTAATCTAATAAAAGTCTAAGGTATAATTAATGAGAGAAAATTACATCTGCTTCAAATCTATTATCCTGAGCATAATGTGAGACTTCAATGAAAATACCAACAGCATTATTAACTGAATATGTGATCAAAGATAAGAGCATAAACATTTCAAGTGCAGAAAGTTATACTTTTCACCCTTTTCCTAATTTTACTTCTTAAAATTCTAAGGAGATGGAAAGTTTTAAAATGCAAACGATGACCTGTATAGCAATACTCTGCGATTTTTGAGTTGACCTTTTTAGTTTGCTTTTGATCATCAATAGCAAGACTTCTCAAATTTTATCCAACAAATAGAATTGGTAATACAGACAATTTTAAAATGACATATAAAACCAGTAAAGAGTACAGTCAAACCTCATTATCTGGAACTCGATGGGACCGAGGAAAACATCAAGATATCAGAGGATTCAAGATATCGAGGGTAAAATACTTACAGAATAAGTAGTTGGGACTTCCAAATCACTGCGACATATCCATGGTATTCGAGATATCAGTGTTCGAGATACCGAAGTTCAACTGTAGTTGTAAATATATAAAACCAATAAAAAGTACATGTAGTTCTAAATGCAGCTTACATCTTATTCATTATAATATATATTATATACTTGTACATTGTATATCATATTGTATAGAATGAAAAACTTATAAAAGAAAGAGTACATGCTAACTGATAATTTTATCTTTAGAATCACACACTGGTTGCCGGACCTCTGTACTAGTGCTAACCAATGTTTTTAGCTCTACTGGTCAGAGACCAGAAGAGCTTATGCGATAGTAAGGTGTCCATCATCCGTCCATCTGTCTGTCCGTCCGTCTGTAAACAATTTTTCAAAACACTACTCCTCCTACAGTTTTGGTCTGATTTCAATATAACTTGGCACACAAGTAGACTACACTAAGATACATAATTCTGTATATCGGTTTTTGATTTCAATGAACGGTGTTGCCATGGTTACTAAAAATAGAAATTTCTGTGAAAAACTTTCAAAATGCTACTCCTCCTACAGTTTTGGTCTGATATCAGTATAACTTGGCACACAAGTAGACTATACAAAGATACATAATTCTATATATCGGTTTTTGATTTCAATGAACAGTGTTGCCATGGTTACTAAGAGTAGAAATTTCTGTAAAAAAACTTTCAAAATGCTACTCCTCCTACAGTTTTGATCTTATTTCATTATAACTTGGCACACAAGTAGACTACACTAAGATACATAATTCTCTCTACCAGTTTTGGATTTCGATGAAAAGTGTTGCCATGGTTACTAAAAATAGAAATTTTCTTGAAATACTTTCAAAACGCTACTCCTCCTACATGATTTGTCTGATTTCAGTATAACTTGGCATACAAGTAGACTACAATGATATACATAATTGTCATTATTGCTTTTTGATTTTGTTGAATGATGTTGCCATGGTTACTTAAATAGAAATTTCTGTAAAATTATTTTAAAAGGCTACTCCTCCTACAGTTTTATTCTGATTGCAATAAATCTTGTTTTTATCCTTCAGAATCACACACTCTGGTTGTCAGACCTCTGTACTAGTGCTAACCAATGTTTTTATCCTTCAGAATCACACACTCTGGTTGCCGGACCTCTGTACTATCTGTACCTGTCTGGACCCTGTGTCTGTTTGTGAAAACGTCCGCTGCCTGAATCCAAACTGTTTCTATGCAAAGGTGAGCTATACAGGCACCAATTTAAGCCACTTTGTGTAATGTATTTTATGCTACATTTAGTATTTACTGTATAATAATGATACTCAATGAAGAAGTAGCAGACTGTGTTGTTAATTTAAAATTATTCAGATGTTTATGGAAATAAATTCAAATTTAAATGATTTACACAAGTTCATGGTTTCTTTTTGGCTAGTGTACACTAATTATGCATTCATTACCTTGGAGAAAATATGCATGTATATTTCTCAGTTTTGTGGAATTGTATTTATTAATAAATGTATTAAAAATACCACATACATGGCTACATGTACATGATTTTTTTTACGACATTTCCATTTAATAATTAAATTTTGTAAATTCTTTTGGATGGTAAATGATCTATCATGACAATGTGTCAAAGCTTTCCTGTCTCATTAGTCTAAGGTAGAATTTGAAATTTTTATTCTGTCAGGCCTGTGGCTAAAAAGTATATATGTAAAAGTGTTCAGGGGGTTACTTCATTTCTTTATACATGTATTAAAAAAAACCTCTTTTAAACTTAACTCCCCACAGACAAATGTCATGTAAGTTCATCAGTGAAGTCATAGGTAAGATGTTTCGGAACAGCCTAGAATTCCTTTGATCATTTACACTCTCACACCTGTGTCAGGTAACGATTAAATACAGGTGTAAAGTAATCCCCATGGCTGCCTGACCACTGTGTATTACCTTCTCTGTGTGATGTATTGCTATGACATGATTCCAGCAGATTCAAAATCATGTTGCACCTTTTCTATTGTTCCTCTGATGCAAGGGAGCCTCACAGTTCGAGTCAAATGTTGCCATTTCACCTCAGGCAGAAGAGATCATATTTAAGATTTATGGCTCACATAAAATTAAAGCAATCATGTCACAATGCTGGCAGTTAAAAATCTTGCTAGTGATTAATGATGCTGTATGCGTATACACTCTGTGATTATAATCTCAGAATTCCCTAAAGCTTGTAAACTACTGTTTATCCCAAAATTGTTAAAAGTATCATTTTGATAGCTTTTAGTAAATATTTGTTGGCTTACTATATATTTAGTAATTTATACCGGGTGTGTATCAATCTGATGTGAGATTAGTGTGCATTTATGATTCCATTACAGTTTAGATTTGACAGATGACAAATCATATAGGAAATGATATTTCAATAAAGGATGCAATTCATCTGTTACTGATATGATTGGGGCATTGAATGATTCTAGGTTGGTGGCCTGTGAGTCACATAAATTTGGGGTGTTACAAATGATTTACTTCATAACTTATCATATTTAGAAATCAGAGGTCATGAAGTAAGCAGATGTTCTCCTCAGAGATTTGTGAAAGTCATGTACTTTTTAGGTAATCTACCTACATCAAGGCCAAAGAATCATAGGGAATATTGTTTTCTATTTTTGTGTATCTCAAGATACATGTATGTTTATCAAAAATATATCTCTTAATATTTCTTTCGCAGTTTTCTCACTGTCCTCATTTGGTATATACGTACTCAGACAAGAGGTTAGGGCTCTCACACCACTATTTGGGAAGGGGGAAGGGCCATAAAAGTTTGGAAAATTGGTGACTTTTGTGGGAATTTTTTGGAAATCATTTTTACATTAAAATCATTGTATATTGGGCTTTTGGTGTTTTTTATCAGCTAAATTTCTGATATGCAATGCAGAAGAATGTGAGATTCAAAAGTATAGGGATGCAATGATATACAATATACATGTATAGGTATACTGTAAACCAACTATTATTTGCATCATCTTTTATTCGGATTCATCAGTTTGAAATCACGATTAATTTTCATGACTGAGGAAACATTCTCTTCAAATGCAAAGCAAAAGAAGTTTGCGGCGATTAATATTCATGAGTAAAGTAGGTCGTGAAACTCACAGATATTTCTTGCATGCAATTAAAAGTTGGTTTACAGTACATGTACTGCAATACACCCAAAAATTTTACTGCATTGTGGTACAAAATCCATATAATTTTTGTTATTTCTTTTTAAATATACCTGATAAAAGTGATTTTCCTTACTTACTTATGATGTTTTTATTGTTTTCAGAGCTTATTAAATGTTACATAAATGTATTTGTGAACTTGATGAAATAATCTACAAGTTTTATCCTTTCACATTGTTAAAGGAAGTTACAGAGACCTACAAATCACATTAAAAGTATGAAAGGTAAAATTTCATGATTTATATCATGATACATCCCCAGTGTATCATGATAGATGCACTTTAGCCATATAATTACACCTATATAGTGAGAAGCAGGTGTTGTTATTATATATCCAATTATGCATTCTTTAATATTAGTGGAAAATGACTACATGTATTGGGAAAATTAACACATTCAGCTGGGGAAAAAGGTACCTTTTTTGAATTGGGAATGGGGCCTTTGAACGGCCCCAAATATAGACAATTGAGAGTCTTGAACATTTACATTAGAATCAGTTACACAGTAGATACCCTAGAGTACTTATTAACATTTGGATGATTTTATCTTTTTCAGGGGGAATATCTACAGATTCCACATGATGGATGTTGTCCTGAGTGTGTGGGAACTTTAGCCCCTTGCCGTCAGGACTCTAAAACTTTCGCAGTAAGTATCTTTTTTCCCCCAAATATTTTTTATATTGTAGATAAAATGTAGATTTCAGATTTAAGCATTTTTTAAAAACAATTTTGCAATTTGTTTTTGTGTTATTTAATAATAATGTTTTATACTTTTCCATTATGATTGAAAAATATTTAAATTTTTCAAGAACACAAGTTTTGCAATGAGTTTTCTCAAAGGCATAGAAAGCATGAAGGATATATATATATTCATTTAGCAGTTACAAAGTAAATTCATATACTTTTCACCTAAAATAGGAAGGGTATCCTATGTAATGGACTAAATATGTTATAAATGGCATTTTCCTGTAGAAAGAAGTGATTTTTCTTATGTAAAGCCCAAATAATATTGTGTGAATACACTGTACACCTATATTTTCTATAAATATACACTTTGATTGAGTAAACATTTTATATCGTATGTGTGAAATCCCCTGACCATCTTTTTATACATGTGCAAATTACATTTGTGAAAATGGCACCACCCTTTGACACCAATAAATTATTTAACCAAAGCCTGGATATGGGACTTAGTATGCCTCTATTGAATTCATGATTACATAATGTGAGCGAATGTGCAGAAAAATCAAGTACATCTCCAATCTGATGGTAAATATAGCAGAGAAATTCCTGTCCACCCACACTTTTGTCAAAAATTTTGTGCATACAGGGCAGGTTCATGATTGTGAATTTGTTTGAACTGATTTAACGTACATCAAAGATAAAACGTGACAGGTGTTGTCACTGAGTACTAACTAAATACAGGACCTAGAACTGCACTTACTCTGAAATACCAGGCATATAATCTTTGCAATCAGCAATACATAACGATATATTAAAGTATGTACCGACACTTTACTTAGTCTTTTGTGGGTCATTTTAAATGTCACGATTTGTTATTGAATGTTTGTCTATGATCGCTCTTCAAGATTGAAGTGTCATTCTAAGGAATTTCATGCTCTTGAAATCTTGTTTGAATTGTCTGATATTGTCACAGATTTTTATAGTTTTTTTTTAAGTATCTAAATATTTTTTTGTTTTCTGTTTAATTTTTTAACTGAACTGTTATTTTTTTTTTAATCTTGATTAGTAATCAATAACACACAGGCTTTATTTCAGTAAATATCTCCAGATATTTTTATACATGTACTTTATTATGAAATGTACAAAAATTTAAATACAAATACAATTTGAAGTGTGTAATAAATATTTTCCTGAATTGTTTGCAATATTCTCTGTAAATATCAAAATCACTTGTCAGTGTAGAAAAATGACACAAGTAAATATGAAACTTTTTGGCACTGCTCCTGAACAATTTGAATATTAAGAAAAGATTTATTGATTTTATTAAATACTTCTATTTATTATGAATGATATCAAATTATAATGGGCTAGGAAATTTGAATTTGTATTCATGGGTCATTTATACAATAATGTAAATTGATCCTTAAATATGTACCATTTATCGACCATTTAAAGAGCTATAAGGCATTAAAAAAACATTAATGCAAGATGAGTGTATTTATATAGAATGTATCTGTGTAACACTTACGTGAAGAAGTACAAGAGAACTACTAAAATGCTTTATTAAAAATATCACAACTGTTAAATATGTTTTAATATGAAGTAGGGAACCTTTTGTAAGCCATACAAACTCTATTGGTGTGCTGTTTTGATCTTGAATCATGAAGATGAACCTTAAATGTTCAGTTTTGAAATTTTCAAATAAATGCTCCTTGGAAAATTCTGAATTTTACATAAAAGATTAATTCATAATATTATATGAAATGAATTTGCATAATTTGTTGTTTTGTCAAATGTTGGTATATAATGTTACATCCTCCTGTAACACCAGTAGAATTCAGTTGGAACCTCTTTTTCCCCAACCTACACACAAAATAGATTTTTCAAATTGGACAGTTTTCTTTTTACTTTTTTTCCTGTATTTTTTTTTCAGGTACCTTGTCCATTACTTTTTTAGGCTTACACCTTTTGAAAAGCAATGTGCCTGTTAAGTGATTTAAAGTTTGCTAGAGTATTGGGTTCAAGTGGCCTTGATTACGAGTCAATCTCGTTATAATATTGAAAATAAAACCTATAAGTTTTGCTAATGATTGTGTATTGTTCTGACTACAGCACAACACTGACTGGTACCCCGATCCTTGTTCTCACTGTACGTGTTGGGATGGAGATGTTACTTGTTCTGCCGTAGCCTGTCCCCGACAGAACTGTAAACCTGGGACAGTAGCCCAGACCCTCCCCGGGCAATGCTGCCCCCAGTGTATAGCCTCTGGAAGTAAGTTATATAATTATATACAGTGTATCCAATTTTCGTACAGGTCACTGGTGTACATTGATATGTAATGTATCCATTTGTTGAAAATAATTTGCAGTTAGGACTAAAGGAAATGTTGGTACAGAAGTGTTTAGGCTTATAATTGAGATCTTATGTTACTTGTAATTTCATACTTTGGTTTCCACATTTACTATCAGCATAAAAAAAATTAAATAAAAAAGACAAAACAACAAGCAAACAAACAAAACTGAAACTTTAAAAAAATCTTTATGCAGATGACTCTGCATGCTCTACCTTCATCAGACACAGTAGACATGCATAGTTCAGAAAGATGTGTGATCCATTTGATTTTTTAACTTTTTACATGTGTAACTAGGTCACTCTTGTCTAGAAGTGCCTCTGTTTCATTCTATCACAGACAAGGGTGGAACAAATTGTCAAATTCTTCATGTCTTTCACAGTGAAAAGATTCCTTATAAAACTTGAAGATTTATCATAATCAATCATATCACAACAAGCATGAAAAAAAAAAGAGTGATCGTATTAGTTGTGTGATATTTATGAGAAGATTGTTCTTTTTTTTTTAAAAAAAAAATCTTCAGTAATCTTCATGTCCTTCGAAATAATTGCTGTATACATGCCAAAATTTTGATGATTTATGTCTCATAAAACACTTGCAAAATCGAATATTATTTTATTAAATCTTTATTTAATATTAAGCATTATTTATTTTTAATTGTTTATTTACATAGGTATGGGGAAATTATTGAAATTATTAACGCAGTATAATACTGTGGTTGTTCATAATCAAGATATTTATTCAAAGCCTTGTAGCCCTCCTTTACCAAAGTTGAGTGGATGCTGCATCTAGAGATGCACTCAGTCTTGCTTGCTTTTGGTGCTGCATCTGATCTATTTTTTTTTTGGTGAATAACCAGGTAAAATGTTATGAATCAGGTTCATTTCCAGGTAATGTAATCATATTTGAACCAAACTTGCATGGAATGATGCATATAGGGATGTACACCACCAGACTTGCTTCAGATGCTGGATCTGACCTTTATTTTCTGGATGATTGGTCAGGTAAAAGTTTATGGAACAGGTCCAAGCCTACCTGGAGCCAACTTTCACAGATGATCATCTAAGGGTGCACACTACCCTGGGAGCTTCAGGTGCTGCATCTGAATTACATTCTCTGGGGGATAGAGGCAGGTTCATTCTGAAGTCACTATAAAGCCAACCGTTACCTGACTTCTGATGCCACATCTGACTGATATTTTCCAAATGATTGAACAGGTTTAGGTTTATTCTCAAGTAACTATATAAGGCTTACCTAATCCAAACTTGCATGGATATTGTATTTAGGGATGCACACTCACCTACTGTGAATGCTGCATCTGACATTTATTTCCAGGTGATTGAACAGTTTTCAGAACAGGTCCATTCCCAAGTAAGCTGTAAGTAACTAGGGTTGCGCACTACCAGACATGCTTTGGATGCTACATTGGACCTGTATGTTTCACTGAGTGACCAGATTAAAGGTTTTGGAGCAGCAGGTCCCTAAGTAACTTTAAGCCTTACCTGGACCAAACTTGATTGTATGATGCATCTTTTGACATTGTTGCAACTGATCTACATTATTTTTTTTTTAAGTGGTCAGATTTAATTCTTTTGAGCAGATTGATACCCAAAGTAATTGTGTCCTAACTTGACTAAACTTGTATAGATAATTCATGTAGAGATACACACTTCTGTCCTTGCCTTGACTAATTTTTTCTTGCTTTGAAGATGCAGCAAGTGACTTGTATTTTTAGTTGGCTAGAGAAGGGCCTTTAATGTTCATGTAATTAGTAGATCATTTGGGAAAAGACTTTGCATTATAGATAACATTCATCGAGATGAGCTTCATAATCTTTGATTACCTAATGTTTATTATTCATCTATTTCATATCAAGTACATGAAGTTTAAGGAATAAAGTATTAATGCAATATGGCTTACAAATCAATTCTGAAATCCCCCTTTTCATACTTTTATCTTTTAGACATCTTGATATTGTGAAGAGAGAGGTTATCTTTCAACATTAGTGACAGATTTTTCATTAATGTGTCATTAGGAAGGGATGAATTGGAATAATTTTGGAATAATTTGTTAGATGTATCAAGATGTGACTAATTATTGATTGGATTGGCTTCCATACATGTGCATAATCATGGAGTCTGTTCTTTTCTTACTTCCTTTTCAATCCATATGCTGCACTGAGTAATTGAATTCTTGTGATGGTGATGTATACATAGAATATCATTGTATAATCATGAGTAAGAGAAGTGATAATAAACTTCAAAAAGGGGGGGGGTTACACTTTACTGTGAATATTTTTATTATTGGTAATCAAGACATGTTGATCATGTAAATGTACCTTTTGAAACTGAAGTTTTCATCACTTGCAAAATTAAAATATTTGCTTACCGCATGAATTTTTTGTTGTTGTTGAAAATATGTATTGGCTTGAGTATTACTTTTACAGAAAGAAACTGAGAAATGACTCAAATCTGTAGATAACTTTACACAGTAAACACTGTAATAATTAAATTTTTCCTTCTAGTTAAATCTATTGTCAAACTTCCACCTAAATACCTTTGACACAGTGTGATAAGTTATGTGTTAAACTGTGTGAAATTGCTCAGAAAGTGGAAATTTAACAAGTATGAGGCAGTTTGACACCATTTATACATACATTCTCTTCATTTAAAATGACTGACGTTATAAATACAGTATACACACCTTTTTTTTGCAATTTTTAATTCTATATATGCTAAAGCTAGCAATGAAAGTTCAGAGTTTGATATGATATTAACATGCAATGCATTTTATTTGCCAATTTTAATATTTGTAAAGCTCATCTCATTTGATTTCTCAGGTTCGTGCTTAGTCGATGGTGTAACTTATGATGATGGACATGAGTGGTCTCCCCTTCCCTGTACAAAATGTGTGTGTCAAGACGGAACAGCCTCGTGTTTCCCGATACAGTGCCCCCCTCTTGTTTGTCCACCGGTAGGTGACACAAGATTTAAAGCATTCTTATTACCAGTACCTGGATCACATTTTGTTTTCTTTGTTTTGCTCAAATGCCAGTATGAAATTCCTTATAGAAAAGAAGATGTGAATATTATGTTTTTTAAATAACAAAGGTAAAAGCCGATAAACTGTTAATTTAATTTGTTTGTTTCTATGTGGGAATAAATTTTAATCACAAATGAATACCTCTAGTTTTGATATGTCATGGTTTTGATTTTAAATGTTGTTTTTGGCCATAAATTTGAATTTGATTGACGTACATCATTTGGAAGAGGTTCGGACATACATTGTATGTTATTCATTAAATTTTTGTGAGATCACTGAAGCCATAATAAAGTGATAACATGTATATTGTGAAAAAATTGCTATTAAAAACATCATGCCTTTGTATCACTTATGTCATAAAATGTATCAGTTATTAAATGTAAAGAAGTACCAATGCTCAATTTTCTTAACTAGGGCCAGTATATTGAAAGAGGTCCTCATTCTTGCTGTCCTGTATGCAAATCTAAGATGTGTTCGGATAGAATCAAGCAATACCAGGTACCTTGTGTATCCAATTATAATCCAAATGAAGTTTTTGGCACCTCTAGATCATATTTTATTTGAGTTAATGGCAAACATTAAAAAAATTGGTATTTTATGGTGATGATTTCTGTGTGAAATGCAATATTTTACATCAAAGTGTTCTTGAAACACAGTCTGTGTTAATTTCATCCAGTTTCCTTTTTAATGACCTTTCAGTCAAAGGCTACTTTGTTTTTACATAGCTAGCATTCTCAGACCTTTTGACCTGATTTGAGTGACGAGTGTGACTTTTGACAATAAGAGTCACAGAGTATATGTTTTTTCTGTGTTGTTTAAGCTTTAAGAAAATCTCCATGCTGATAATTTTGATAGCTCTGTTTAATACATTCAGGCTACTGATTTCTTATCTTGATTGTTGAAAAGTAACCTGCCCCTGTTTTTAAGTATAGAATTGACAGGTAATTTTTGATAAACATCAAGAATACCTATGAAAATTAGCTTCTGAAAGTTCTCATATTTTCTCTGTTTAATCAAGGATAAAACATAAACTGTATACAAAACGACAAATCAGAAGTTTACTAAAATACCTTTATTACTATCTGGGTGCATAGTAATTTTGATGTGTTGAATTTGATATGATCCAACAAGAATTAATTGATAAAGACAAAAGTGATTTTCTGAGAATGTGCTTATTTTTTGCAGAGGGCAGAAGTGCTTGAGTATTTTCCGTGAGAATACTGTTCAGTTTGAAGGGCTGTTGATAAGAAATCTGATACAAAAGTGATTTATTGAATGAACCTATGTTATTATATTTGATTCAAAAAAAAATTCTGAGTTATTTAAATTCACACTGCAGGCATACATGTAATGTCACGATGATGCCTATGAATGTTATCATACTACATGTACAACTAGGATGGGGTTGATCTTTTGAATCAATTTTTTATGCAATAATATTTGGGCGTTTTCACATCTGAGAAACATGTTTGCTTTTGACAAGATTTTTAAAAGAAGATTGTTCATTGAATTTACAAAGAATGAAATGCATTTTGCTTTCAATTGAGTGTTAAATTCTGTGTTTGATCATGCAGAGTCAGATCACTGGTGTCAAATGACGTCTGGTCTGCTCCTAATGATAGCTCAATAGGAACTGGGAGTAAAATGGGTAATTTTTATGAGGGAAAATCTTTATGAACGATACCAAAAATAACCATTTTTTTTCTATTATTATCACATGAAATGTGTACCTACATAAATATAAGAATGGTGTACATGAAAGAATGCACACCTAAAGAAAGAATGTGTATCTATCACACAAGTTAGGACTATAAAGGAATGTGACCTCACCTAATTTTCCACCTAAAATGTTACATGGGATTTTGTTTTAAATTAATCAGCTGTAGGTTTGTTTCTGTCAAGTTTATGATTGATAGAGATGAGAAAAAAAACTGGGAATTAAATCTTTCTTTTATAGCCAGAATATATATAGCCCCCAACACAATTCCACAACATATAACTTTCAGTATCATAATTAAATGTTGAGTCCTAGTACAAATTTGGAATGTATTTCAAAAATAATTTGTCTATAAAATCAGTTTTTCCCCGAAACATATGTTTCAGGCATTCAAAAAAATTTCCCTGGTTAATATATCCAATGAGTAAGACATTTAATTGTCTTATTGAAAAAGTTAATTAAGATGACAAAGTGCCAGAAACAGAAAAAAATCCATACATTCTGTGTGGGAAAAATAATTTAATTGATTAAAAAAAAAAATTTTGATCAGAGATTTTATAGATATATGGAAAATATGATGTATTTTTGTGTAATGTACACATTTCCTGAAATAACTTGTTATCTATGTTAAGAATAATGAAAGCTGGCAGAAGGATGAATGCACATTTTGCACCTGTCTACAAGGGGAGACCGTTTGCAGGAAAGAAGAATGTGTGGATCCAAAAGAGCTGGAATGTGGCAAAGTACGTCCCCAGAATACATTGAACATTTAACATTTTTTGCAAAAATAAATCACTTGACAAAAATTATAGAATTGGCAATTAATTTCAAATTTAGTCTTAGATTTTCATATTGTTTTATTATCAAATTACAATACTCTTGATTTGAATTTTTCTTTTAAATTTTTTTTTCAAAAGAGTGAGAGAAAAGTGAGAAGACCTGGAGAATGTTGCATTGAGTGTGTCAGTCGACAGGGTAAGTTTATTTGTGACAGTGCATTCTGCAGCATTTTTGAAGAATGGTGTTTGAAAAGCAAGGAAATGTACTTTTATTTATTATTTTACATAGATTCGTGCAAGTCTGAAATACCTATTCGATACCACGGTGATGTGTGGAACATTTCTGCTTGTGAATTCTGTTTGTGTGAGAATGGTCAAGTCCACTGTCATAAGGCCATGTGTGAACCACTCATCTGTGAATTAGTAAGATTATGTATCATATGATGAAAACAAGTTCTAGTAGGAATTTTTTTTGTGACACATGCAATGGTTTCAAACTGTATATGAAAATTTTAATGGGGACTTGTAATTAGTCCAAGGACAAATACAAATTCAGCAATATTCTTGACTTTGGCATTTATCCTTAACCCTTTAACTACCAGAGATTTCGCATTTTTTCTGCAAAACTGCATAAAAATTTCAAATTGAAATTTTAACATTTTCTAGTCACTTTTGCAAAAAGCAACCTATACATTTTCTGAAAAATAAAATCTTAAAGTCTTTAATTATGCAGATTAAATGACGTCGTGGTTGCCATGGCAACGAATGAGGCCCATAATTGCCAAAATATGTGTTTTTCCCCTTTTTCATCCCAGAAATACAAACAAATTTACATATAATGTTTCCATAACAGAGGATTTAGTGATACTATTAAAACAAAGCATGCAGTCAATTAGTTTTTAGTTATACTGGTCAACTTTATTTGATATAGGAAGAGTTTATACAATCACACAATGTCTGTCATCCTTAAAGACTTTGGCTTTACAGCTGTCTGATTGTCGTAATTATAAGCAATTTTCAAATCGCTTTCCCTCCTACAGTTTTTGCCTGACTTCAATAAAATTTGGTACACATGTAGAGTATACTAAAACACAAAACTCTTTATTTTAGTATTTTTATTTCAATGAACAGTGTTGCTATGGTAACAAAAATAGTAATTTTGAGAATGGGGCTTCCTAATAGACACGGGTATACTATATTCAGTAATTTACAAATCGCTTTCCCTCCTACAGTTTTTGCCTGACTTCAATAAAATTTGGTACACATGTAAAGTACAGTAAGATACAGTATTCTTTATTTTAGTTTTTTTTTTTCAAGAGTGTTGCCATGGTTACAAAAATAGCAATTTTGAGAAGGGAACTTTCTAACAAACATGGGTATACTATATTCAACGTCATGGTATACATTAAAATTACAAATATCAACGTTACAAAAATGGACATCTATAAAACGTTGGTCGAAGTGAGAGGAGGAGAGATTTTGCTGAACTTTGTCTCTTATTCGTTTGTTAAATGTTGCTTTGATGTCCTCGGAATCATGCGAGAAAATATTTAACCTTAAATACCGTTTTTCTCTTCTTTTTGGAAAACCCACTTGTTTCAGAAGAAACAATGCCCAGTTGTTTTTTATATCAAATGGGCCCCCATTTACTTCAGTAGAGTTTTATCATTGAATAAAATTACTTGCCTGGTTCCAGCGACCTGCATTTGAGAATTCACAACACCCTGATATGTACTCAAACATACAATATCACTAGTTCATCATTAAGTTTTAAAAGACAGCCATGGGGAGAGTATGGTAAAGAACTACGCACACTAACTCTCGATTCCAACTTAATTTTACACGCCTTAATTCAATAAAATTGACTCTTTTTTTTATTGCAAACAAGAGTTCACTAGTGATTGAATTATATTATAAATGTATTGTCATATTGTAATTTTTGAATTTACCGGGTGGAAGTAAATACAACAAATTACACTATGACAACTTGTTATATTGTAATTTTTAGCTAACCTAAGTGTGCATTTACCGTTCACGGTAGCTCAGTCGGTAGAGCGTTAGCTCCGTGATACGGAGGTTGTGAGTTCGAATCTCGGCCGCGACTGAACTAAGTCGATAAAAAAAATGGGTAGTAACTCTTCCTTCGCTGGGCTCTCGGAACTTTGAAGTGAAAGTTGCGGGTCCTTCGGATGAGCCCTTAAAAACCGAGGCCCCGTTGCCACGATAAAGATCCCTCACTGCTCAATGGCCCTGAGTCAAAATTTGAAGCTCTTCTCCGTTATATGGCGACGTCTTTATATGAGTGAAAAATTCTCGAATGGGACGTAAAACAACATACAATCAATCAATCTATCAATCATCAAGTGAGCTTTTCTGATCAAAGAGTGTCGGGCGTCCGTCTGTCGTCTGTAGTCTGTAAACTTTTCACATTTTCGACCTCTTCTCAAGAACCATCGGACCAATTTCAACCAAACTTGCTACAAAGCATCCTTGGGTGAAGGGAATTTAAGTTTGTTCACAGGAAGTACCGCGTCGTCTTTCAAAGGGAGATAATTAAGAATTTATGAAAATCTGGTGGCATCATTTAAAAATCTACTTCTCAAGAACCACTGGACAAGGAAAAATGAAACTTATGTGAAAGCTTCATTACATACTGTAGATTCAAGTTTTTTATATCATGACCCCTGGGGGTAGGGCAGGGCCACAAGAGGGGGTCAAGTCTTACATAGGAATATATAGGTGTAATGGTTAAGGGGCATATTCAAGTAAAACGCAATGAAGACCTCAAATAATGGAATGACCTGACAACCCTTGGAATGGACTAGCCAAACCAAAGGGTATATAAGGCAAAGCTTTGAGAAAGTCAGGCATTCAGAAGCTAGCAGAAGAAGTTTGATGCTGAATGAGCAATAAAGAAGTTAAGGTATTCCATCCCTAATAGCAACAGATTCAATGAAATTGAATACACAACAGAGGAGTAGGTGTTTAATATTCACTAGATTTTGACATAATAACCATTTATTACTATTACATGTAAGGGTGGAATGTGTCTAATTTTTGACCTTGACTTTTGGTAAGGGTTATCTCCCTCTGTTTTTAATCACTGGAAAAAATCTATTATAAAAAAAACTCATCAGGTAAAAAAAAATCGTTTTCAATTGTCGTTCTATTTCTGATGTTTTAATGCATCTTTCCACCACAGTATTTATAAATATTCATATTATTTGAATATTTATTTTTAAAAGAAATTGTCTGTCCCATAGATTTCAATACAATTTTTGTTAATTAATTACTGCTTAGTTAATTAAATTTTTGAAACTATCTCTTAATAAATCCTTTTCTATTGTGAAATGCTTTTACATTGGAAATATCTTTAAAATCTTCTCAAGAACAATTTAGCCATTATTAGTCATATTTATACAGAAGTAACCTTAGGTATTGTAGAATCAAATTTGTTCAAATCATGGGGGCACAACAGGGGGTCAGTTAGGTTTTGCATAAGAAAAAAAATATAGGAATCATCTTGAAAAAATCTTTTGCTCAATAACAGCAAAGCCATGATTAGTCATTATTATTGTAAAAACATCCTCAGGAAGTGTTGCTTCAAATTTGTTCAAATTTATGGTGGGTAGTGTGGGACCACAAAGAGAAATCAGAGTTTTGCATAGGAAAACATAGGATTGATTGATTGTATTTTGTTTTACGTCCCGTTCAAGAATTTTTCACTCATAAGAGACGTCACCATATACCGGTGAAGGGCTTCAAATTTAGACCTTTCCTCGGCTGAGTGCCGAGGGCCATTGAGCAGTGAGGGATCTTCATTGTGCCTACGCCTGCTGTAACACAGGGCCTCGGTTATTAAGGTCTCATCTGAAGGACCCTCAACTTTCACTTCAAAGTGCTGAGCGCTTGGCGAAGGTACAGTCGCTACCTATTTTTTATCGACTTAGGCCAGTCACGGCTGAAGCTC